AAAGTAATTAATAACTAGTAGAGTACTTCGTACGTTTTTAAGTTTAAGTAATAGTAAATAATTAGTCTTCGTAGTAATAATATAATAAAGTAATATATATATATATATATATATATATATATATATAAAGAAAGAGCTGCTGAGTCTCAATTATCTTGGATTCCAGTCAAGAAGTTAATGAAAACGCAGTTACAACACTGATTGTTTGTTATATTGACACATCCAATCAATATGCTGTTAAGTCAATTAAATAACTTAACTGAAGTGTTCAGTGGTGACACAAAAGGAGAGAATTTAAAAGAATAAGTCAATAAAGTATAAGTTTCGACTTTACCTAAACTACGGTACTTTCAATAAAAACAGCTAAAATTTTTCTTAAAGAATTACCGAACACAGGTTAATCACTCACCATAATCCATGAATCACCCAGTTATTTTTCTTAGAAGGCACTTCACACTATAAAGATCAAGAAAAAAAAAACAAACGCTTATCTTCTCAAAAAATGTAAAAAATGCAGTGTAAGAATTAAGATAAAATTTTTTATAGTAATATACAAAGAAAAACACAAAATATTATTCATTCTAAGCATGGCATGACTTGGTGGTTAGGGAACTTGACTCGAAATTTGCGAGCCATGGGTTCGAATCCCCTCACCAAACATGCTCACCTTCTCGGCTGTGTGGGAATTATAATGTAAAAGTCACTTCCACTGTTAGGTTAGAGTAACCCATATATAGTTTGTGTTGACTAGCTAGTTTATCACTTTCTAATTAGGGATAGTTAGCGTATATATCTCTCGAGTAATTTGCGCAAAATTTAACAAACAAAACGTTATAAGGTTATGATTTATAGTATTTATAAAGTACTTATCACTTATATAATGCATAAGTGTTTTTTCTTTACTCTGATATTTAACGTATAAAATCATCTATCACTAACAATATTTTGGACAGCTTTGTTTTTCAGGCAGTGCACTGATGAGTTAGAAATATCATCTAAATGTTAAATGTACTAACTATATTTACTTCTTGTAAAAGACGTGTACCCCTAAACCCACCACTAGTGCATAGGCCTATTAGTGGACTATGTTGTCTTTCATTGCCCTACTGTTTGGAGTCTGGTGTTTTTTTTTAAGCTCAGCACTGCCTCAACCTATCTTAGTAGACCAAAAGCATTTGCAGAAAAGTAAGTGAAATAATGGAGGTGAATAAACCACAATCCTCAAGTAAATTTTAAACTAATTCCAGTTGCAGCGTATCAGAGAATTCACCCATTTTATTATTATTACTTTTGAAAGACTAAAACTTTCCCTTCAGTAAAGTTATATTTTTAGAAGGATTAAAGTTAAAATCCCTACTACAGGGGTTGAGTACGTAAGGATACAACGATTCTGGGGCCTAACAACGTCATTAAATCTTGACAGTAGATATACAGCATAGTTCCATTTCAAAAAGGTTGTCATCTGAAAAGCACACTACCACTCCTTGCATGTTTTCCAATAATCATCTAGTTTAAGAGGATGACAGTTTTCTATCGCCCATTTCAATGGCCCAGTTACACAGAATTCCTTAGGCACTGCATATGGAAACTTGACTAGTATGTCTTTGTACATAACAGCACGAATACCTTCTTTCCTTCGGTTATGTACTCGGTCATTTACTCAAGATGCAACTTATGTAAGTCAGAAGATATCCTTGCAAAGATTGAACCACCAATTCTGGTTTGCACCAGAGCTGATTGTCATAACAAATACAAATTCAATCTTATTTAAGTTAAATTGAGGACCTGTGCCAGTATAACGAATACTGATGTATATATACTGTTACGGAAGTCACGTGACGCTAATAACACGTCATGAGCTTCTAGAAAATTCATGTCCCTTCGTGAAGCCTCGAGTGTTTACTAGATTTTCGGTATTCTTGTATATAAGACCGCCAAGAAGTGACGGCAACAATGTAATTGAATTGCAGACAGAGATTGAGTCAAGCGCGTGAATCGTTCGTTCGTTGTGAATTATAGCGTTTGTTTAAGCGTGACTGTGGAAATTAAGTGTATTGCAAAGTTGTATTGAGAAAGAAACGACTTGTATCGCTAAAGTTTCTTCGGAAAGCATTTTTACGGAAAATTAGCAAACGACTAGAGACGTAACAATACCTTAAGTCTTATATCGTTTATTTGTTGGTTGTGTTGAATTTCGCGCAAACCTACTCGAGGGCTATCTGCACTAGCCGTCCCTAATTTTAAAGTGATACACTTGAGGGAAGGCAGCTATTCAGCACCACCTACCGCCAACTCTTAGGCTACTTTTTACCAATAAATAGTGGGATTGATTGTCACTTTATAATGACCTCAAAACTTAAAAGGCCAACAGGTTCGATGACGGATTTTGATCTCTGGACCAGCACACTGCGAGTCGAGCCTAACCATCAAACCATACCAGGCCAAGTCTTGTAACACTCACGTGACGTTATGTTTGTTACAGAATTTGATAGCCCCTTTTTTTTTAATTGCTTGTTAAACATAATTTATTATTGTACCTTTAACATATCTTACTTGTTTTACAAACGAAGTTTTCTTAGGAGATGCTTTACTAAACAGCGAGCTTAACTTTTATTTATAATGTGTCACGCTTGTTACACTCAAAACCTATTCTTGGCATGCCAATATTTCTGGAGATAGAAGTATTATTATTTTTTAAACTGATCTTTCCTTCTATATAAGTAGTAAGTCAAGTACCTAAGCAAGCTACATTAAATCCTATTGCCACTCATTAATAACTAGCATTAAACCAAACTGTAAATATGCTGATTTCAGATTACTTTCTGAAGAGTTAAAACGTATGTTTTTAACCAATGAACTATTTTCCCTGCGTCGGTGGTAAGCGAAAAGTGATTTACTTTCAAGTTACATGAATATTTCAGATTAATAAAAGTTACATTGTAACTTTTTTTTCACTTTGGAATAACTTTTCATGGAATGGGCCTAACAAATTCTCTACTATGTACACAGCATGATTTAGACTTGTTGTGTATCTGTTCGTTTTTTAATTTCCGGTATAAATTCTTTCCAAGGAACTTCAGCGATACAAGTCCTTTCTTAATTAAAACTAGTTTATTCTTTCTCGATACAACTTTGTAATACACAGAATTTCCACAGTCACTTTAAACTTAACAACCTTTATAACACACGCTATAACTCACAGTGATTCACACACTTTACTTACGGTGTCTACTGTTCGCTTGACTCAATTATCTCTATCTTCAATCTATCTGCATATACATATCTATCGCTGGCTTTATTTGCCGGGCTTATATACTAAAAAAGGGGCGCCTGGCAAACTCTTGGACATTCGAGGGGTTCCTTGATAAGTCATGATCCTTCTAGAAACTCCAGCGCGCATGCTCCCAGTGTCGCGTGACTGTCATAACAGTATTTTCTCTTTTATTTTTTACACAAAACCCTACCTGAGGAACAATAAAAAAGTGAAGGTCTTGTAGAATACTAGATTTAGGAGATAATTAAAACACTCTCCCAAGAAACCAGGTGGCACTAGTCACATGTGAGAAGAAGGTCCATGTAATTGCTGATTTCTCTCTTGATTTAAATATCCAAGTTATTAGCCTCTGGCATTATTTGAAAACTCAATTATATTCTGTCTTTTTTCTTTCTTTTTTTTAAAATTATGATAGTAATTATGATAGTTGTAACATATACGTTAATATATTTTTTTGTATTTTGTTATTAAACACACAGAGTTACACAATGAGTTATCTGTGTTGTGCCCACCACGAATATCGAAACCTACGGTTAATTGATGTTCAACATGAGTGAATTCATGTGCGCAAGTCCCTAAAGGACGAGGGGGGATACATGTACCCTCACTTTTTGAGGAGTTGGGACAAAGTATCAAATTTATTCTCCATTTCTTATGAGATCAATACAGGGTTTTAATTGGGTTTATATTTTGTAAGATGCCAAATAAAAACATCTTAAAAATTCTAAGATCTGGTCACACACACATATATATGTATATTGTTTGTGTGTGATTGTGTTGGTGCGTGTGTACGAAGATTTCATTTCTACTTGTCTCTTCCCCCACATTTTTAGTAGCGATTTGCGCCCTTGTGAATTATATCAAGAGATGGGGCAATTTGATTATGGTATATCAAAAGAACATTATCATACATGACATTGTAAAATAAAATTTAATTTTCTTTCATGCTAAATAAAAGTCTGTCCTGTAGAATTTCATACGAGGAATGATGTAGGGCGCAGACCACATGTCAGTGATGATGACACAGACTAAAATATTTTATCATTGCGAATGCATACCAATGTTAAGGTAATTTGTGCATCATAAATACATTTATGAAAGAACTAGGTGTGCGTGTTGTCCTTTAATTTAAACATTCATTACTTAAATGAATTAAGCTACAATAACAACCTTTTTCCACGTTATTATAAAACGTTACCACAATGTTAACGTTGTAGTAACATTGGCACAATGTCTTGTGAGATTTTAGATTGTTGTAATTTGGGTTTGTAAAAGTTCTGGATAACAATATAATGACGTTCCCTGGAATCTAAAATGTTTTGTTAAGTACACAATATTAGAGAAACGAAAGTCGAGCGTAAAACTGTTAGCTGGGAAGGAATCGAGATTTTAAGATGATAAACATCATGTCATGACCTAAACTCGGTAAATGTGTAGTCATAGCATTTCAAAATTAAGTATATATAGATCCTAGTGTAAGCTTAAACATAAAGACTGAATAAGTGTATGTGCATAGTGTAGTTTAGTTCCATGTTTTCTTTTGGTTTAATATAGTGCTTATACTGCTGAACTATATTAAAAATAATAATATTACACCCTTTTTTCAAAGCCATTGGGTATAGTTCATATGTTGCTAAATTACACTAAGCATATATTAGATATATTATACTCTTTTTCTCAAACCATATCATAAGGCTCATCAAAACTTCTGGATTTGTATCTTTTTTAAATACTAATTTTTGTCACCCTAAGCTTAACTGGGTAAGGTAAAAATATATAAAACTTTAATACGGAGATAAAACCCACATTATTATAAAATATATACATATATAGTGGGAGGATAGGACATTACATTATCCCTAGTTATAAAACCTTAAAGCTTATTATATAAGCGTACTTAATGTTTGTTCCACGCCTATTATAGACAACACGATTTTTTTTCATTTTTAAATCATCGCAAGCTGGTTTCTCCTTTCTTGAATTTTGGACTTTAACAAACGTTCTGAGAAGGCAAATCTTGTGAAAATTGCGTTTTTTGCTAAATATGCACAATTTGTCGCTCACCTGAATCACGATTCTTCAAAATGCTTACTGCAAACAAAGCTAGATTTTGAAGACTGACTATTGCATTTTCTCAATGCTATAGTCTCTTTCTAAAAACTATTTCCATTCTTTGTTGGGAATATAATTTTACCTTGATATATAACATCGATCATGCCACAACATAAATATTACGAATCGTTCAAAGCGTAGTCATGTTTGCTTGAAATGTTAAGCAGCGCTAACTCATAGGCCTCCTTGTTCCGACATTAGTAGGTAATAGTATCTTATTCTCATTTCAAGAAAAACGCTTTTATCTGGAAAATTATTCGGAAGACTATTGTGTACTTATTATGCAGAAGAAGGACACATACTTCTTCCCAAACTGCCAAGGTTCTTCTCGCTGGAGATAACGTATTTCATCCATTTACTTTGTTTTAAGGTCAGTGTTTCGTGTAGGTTCAGTTTGGTGGAGCTGAAAATCATGGGTAACTTCTCCGTGTATTTTAGATCTCGTTGGTTACGACTTTCATAGTAGGCTTAGTTAACAACAGTATCAGAGTAAAACATGAAATTATGCCTAAAGTTATGCTTAAATGCAAACTTCACTTGTAATTTACATGTTTAAAAAATTCAAAAGCAGGCCATTTTAAAGAAATGTTAAAACAGAGATTACACCTAATATTGTAATACATAAATTGTATTCATTACATTACTTGAGATTCTTTGCAAATTTTTATTGTGAAATCCACTTTTGACGTCGTTAATGCAAATGAAGTGTTGTGGTATGCAAGCATACTGTGAATTTTCTATATAGAATGTTACACAGTTTTTCAGGTGTACGTACAGTTTTAAGACGAACCACTGCGAAAGTATTTGCCAAGAATGTTTTCATTAATCAAGAACAAAAGTTAGAAGTTTGAAGGCGATCAGATACCTCCCTATAGTTCTATCCACAAAGGGTGCCAACCAGCGATTCGCCAGAGTTCCTTAAACAGCTCGGCGGGCAGCTTCCGAGAAAACAAAGTATTTGGGTTCCGGCGGAAGTATGGGTGAAAAGCTAAAATTTAAAAGAAGTGACTGAAGGGCGCCACCAGGAGTAGAGCTTGCGATTTAATTTTACTTGATAAAGCTTCTGGTGCAGATAATATTTATCCAAGGATATTGAAGGAGGTCAAGGATTGGATATGTGAGCCACTTGCTGGTCTAGAATTGATGCAGAGTTCTATAGAATTTAACTTTAGTAGAAAAGAGCAAGGAGGTTGTCCTTCCAAGGTTAAGCATTAGGGACTGTAAGTGAAATATTCTGAGAAAATGTACTGGTTGATCAAACTCTTAAGCTATTCAAGCAATGTGCTGATGCTAGTGGTAGGACAAATAGGATTTTAAGTTGTATCTAGAGAAATATTGAATACAAGTCTAAAAAAAGTTATAATGTCACTTTATTAGTCATTGATTAGGTCATATTTGGAGTGCTGTGTCCAGTCTCTGGCTCCTTACCCTAGAAAGGACATTGAATTTTTGAAAAGGGTTCAGTTTATTTGTTTGTTATGAATTTCGCGCAAAGCTACACGAGGGCTATCTGCGCTAGCCGTCCCTAATTTAGTAGTGAAAGACTAGAGAGAAGGCAGCTAGTCATCGCCACCAACCGCCAACTCTTTGGCTACTCATTTATCGACAGATAATGGGATTGACCGCCACATTATAACGCCCCCACGGCTGAAAGGGCGAGCATGTTTGGTGGTTGCGAACAGATTGCGAGTCGAGTGCCCTAACCACCTGGCCATGCCAAGCCCACATTACAAACATTAAATCGTTAAGATTTGTTGACCCACCCATTATAAACTAATCACATTAATACTTATTAACTAGCTGGCATGGTCAGGTGGTAAGGGCACTCGATTCGCAATCTGCAGGTCGCGGGTTCGAATCCCTGTCCCACCAAACATGCTCACCCTTTAAGCCGTGAGGGCGTTATAATGTGACAGTCAATCCCACTATTCGTTGGTAAATGAGTAGTCCAAGAGTTGGCGGTGGATGGTGATGACTAGCTGCCTACCCTCTAGTCTTACACTGCTAAATTAGGGACGGCTAGAGCAGATAGCCCTTTGCGCGAAATTCAAAAAACAAACCAAACTATTAACTAGCTTACGTTTAAGGTCTTTAAATTATAAAAATATAGTGATATCTGCGGAGATATACCAACGCATTTGTAAGCACATCTTGTTATATATTTTTAGTTTCTTGATATTTTCTCCTCAGGTATCTTAACTTTCGTTTTCATATTCTAAGGTAAATGTATGATCAAAAATACAAGTTCTACTGACAAGAATTTAACGAACGAAATTATGTTCAATAACGTATAAAGGATTCTACACCAGTGCATATTGATTACACCCAATTATACACATATCAACACACTCATACTGGGCTAATCACTGTTAGTGCATGGATAAGGCGAAACACTTCCGTGTGTATTACGGAACCAAAACCATTAAACTGAGATCCCGGAAAGTTGAAGACAAGATTATATGACTTTAACTCACATATTTATATTTTAGATATAAGAAATCAATATTATTAAAATCACGGTTAGGCGGTTTTGGATTTGGTTACGAATTCCAAACGGAAAAGTACTTTTGGTTTTGGTTATGAATTATACCATCATGTGATTAGGTAGTACGAACGAAAACAGAGGCTTAGTTTGTGAACGTAAAAAATACATGATATAATACTGCCCATAGTTGAACAATAAACGTATACATAATTACCTTTACAATTAACAACTTTTGATTAAATCTAGCTTTCCAGTCTGTTCTCATGTTGGGATTTTCTTTATACTTAGTTGAATTCAACACCGTGATTATATGTTAACACACAATACAAACTGAACAAGATGTTCCATATTTTATCACCAGATCTTCAAGTCGTTCCAAAAACATTTCATAACAGTTATGAATGCAATCTGTTATACATGGAATTAGCAATCATATTTTGGAATAAATCACAAAAATGTTCATTCATTTTAACACCTTTGTTAAGCCGATCATTCGCAATATTAATATATAATAGACTGTGAGGCTCAAATTAGTTTGCTGCTTGTGAACAATCTATCCCCTCTTTTCATTGCCGACTTGACTCTAGCGTTTATTTTTATGATTGAACTAAGAATAACTTATATATAGGATTGGTTTGGCAAGAGCTTAATTACAATGTTTTGTTTACACTAGTGGCTATTTATATTTGTTCAATGTTTTTGTGGTGGCTTTATTGTCTTGAGTAGTTTGATTACTGCTTGAATATAATAATTAGTTTATTTCGGTGTTTGCTTCCTTATCGTGTTTTATATTGTTTGAAGACTCAGTGAGCACATTAATTCTGTTATATATAACTCACTATTTGCTGCTAGTAAATCAGTCTCCTTAAGAAAGTTGTAATCGTGTTAAAAATTATAGTTTTCTTCGTTAATGATTTTATTCTTTTTTTAACGATGTTTCAATTGATATTATTACTATACACTTACTGTGACGAATTTTGAAGAATGAAGACACACTGTGGGCGGCCAGTCTTGAACAAACATTAAATAATCAACACCACCAAGTACACTGAAAAAAATACATGTTTCAATATGATGTATAAACTACAACGCCAAAAGGTGTTCAAGACAACGTCTCATTCTTCTCATATACCATATAACCGTTGGCAATAAGACCAAATCTTAGTTCTGAACAATCTCTTAAGCAGTTATTTTAATATTTCTAATTTTTACTACTAAAAACCGAATCCTTACGTTACACAGTGTCAAAATGAAAACAACTGTGATGCTGAGCAAATTGTTATACACACCATATTTAATGCTATAAGCAACATTAATAAGAAACTTCCGTAATTTAATTCTGGAGAATATCTAAATAAAATTCACCTTTGGTCCGTTCAATTTCGTTTACTTATTCATGAAAGAACATACAAAAAATAGAATCAAATTAACATTTCTTACATACTTCGAAATCATATACCAAACCGTACACATTCTAGTGCACAAGATAACATTATTGAACTTTAACATAATGTTATAATCAACTTTGTTTATAAAGAAACATGCTTTAACACTAACAGCCAGCAAATATCTAGAGAAAAATTTAGAAGAAGTGCGTAGCGTAATGTCTGGAATTTCCTTGAAAGCTTAGAAAATGATTTTAATAATATAGAAAGGAGTTAGGTTGCAGTTAGGCTGTAAGTCTGTTTGATTGTTGTGTCTATTAGTATTAATAACTTATAATGAGTTTGAAGTAAGAAGAATTATTTCATTAAGTGTGGCATAGCCAGGTGGTTAGGATGTTTCAATCGCAATCTGAAGGTCGCGAGTTCGAATCCCCATCCCCCCAAACATGCTCGCCTTTTCAGCCTTGGGGGCGTTATAATGTGACGGTCAATCCCACTATTTGTCGATAAAATAGTAGCCCAAGAGTTGGTGGTGGGTGGTGATGACTAGCTGCCTTCCCTCTAGTCTTTCATTGCTAAAGTAGGAACGGCTAGCGCAAATAGCCCTCGTGTAGCTTTGCGCGAAATTCAAAACAAACACATCCTTTGATTAAGTTTGTTAATCACTTAGTTTGTTCAGAGCCGAGATTATTTAGTTTCTGTTTCTATGAAGAAATATAGATAACATAGAATTAGCAAATACACGAAATTGCTGTGTTAGCGTCAAGTGCCTCTCAGTAACCATTAGCTAAAGCTAACTTGAACAACCTATAAATAAATAAATAAATAAAATGCTTTCATTATCAGTCAGTGCAATGGACTTTTCATTCTTGTTTCTTCCCAACAACAAAAACCGTTTAAGTGTTCGGAGTGGGATTTTTGGTAAAAAAAATCTTGAATCAACTTAAAGATGACAACAACAACGTGGTCATACTTGCTACAAGTGATAAAATAGTGTAAAGAAAATCACCAAGAAGAAAGTTTAAGAAAACTAAAATAAATTAAAGAAGATAAAGAAGAGAGGGGAAGTTAGAAAAGAAATTACAAGAGACATGAGATTTACAAAAGAATGAAAAACAAACATCAATTTGATCAAAGGCAACGTCGAGGAAGTCATAAAATTTCTACAAAAGGATTATAGCAAAAAATAATTAAAAAGAACAAAATTTCATCAATGAAGTGGAAGAAGAAGTGCAGCAAAACTGGAGTACAGAAATATAATAATAACAGAATTAAAGAACCATTGAAAATGTACAAAAGAATATCAAAATCAGGATAAAATACCTAGAAACTGAATTAGTAAATGAAAGGAATAGACCGGCCACTCCTCTCCTTGTATCTGCTCAAGAACTCTTAACATTAAACACCATTAACTATGAAATTTCAGGAGAACCTAACTGGTCAACACCTGTTATCGTTACTTCTATGACACCTATGACCTTCATTGGCTCCTACAATTACACCACTACTCCATCTAATTGTGGAATTTAGCAGGCCAGTTCGACAACACTGCCAAATTGAGAAAACAATAGATTATAATAGAGACGTTTTATGGGAAGCATATCAGGCATAGTTTCAAATAATTTCCAGGATGAGTGGGTGAATAGTGAACAATAAACCATTCCTCTTGCTGCACATTCAAAAGGACCAGCTTTAACAATATTAAGTAACCTTGCAACAGAGAAGAGATTCGTAACAACTATTAGGCATTGTTGATGCCTTATCAAACATATTTGGAATGTCACGTCAGAAGGAATGATTTTCTAAAATAAACTTTTAAGACAGATGAGTAAAACCTTAGTCAAATTTCATCAAGAAGTGGAAAAACTTGCCCAGTTATCTTTTATCGGTTATCTTAGATTTTTTTTTTTTATACACGGCCAATTCATAAATGTCATTGTGGGTGAGTATATGTGAATGGGAATTATGATATCACCATATTAAATAGAGCAGAAACTTCAATTATTTCTGATAGAGGTTAAGAAAAACTAAAATGATTAATTAAGGAACTGTATATTCAAAATACAAGAAGTAAACTACAGGACAGAAGGAGTTTCAATTGCAACTTAAAATTATATATTACCAAGAAATGCAGAAACAAAAAACCTATGTGAAGTAGAAACTGCTCCCAACTGATGGCAAGAAAAGAAACTAGTAGAAGGGCAGAAAACATGGATATTACTCTCGAAATTGTAATGAATCAAAAAAGAAGACAATATCCTAAGGATAAGAATATTTCGTCTGTCCTAATTGAAGCAAGGAGTGCATTTTTTTAAAGAAACGAGTAAATGAGTTCACAAATGGAAACTTTACAACATGTTGATTGCCACTGGTTCTACAGCTGCCATTTTGTGACCTGATCAGGTAAAGTAAACTGAGAAATTATTTTCAATGATGAGGCAAGAAGATGGATCGAATGTGGACTGCAAATGTTTATAAAGGTCTAAGCAAAATAAAATTGGGTTGAAAGTCACCTTAACTGTGGAAGGCCTCTCTGCACAACATTATGTATAGGTAATTGGCGTTGAAAATGACTGCATATTCAGAATAGACTTCATTTGGAAACAAATATGTGATCTTAGACTAGCTTCGAAGAATTTCATAATCTATTATCAGGAAATCCCCGTTCACTGCATGAACATTACATCACCAAAGTTTGGATTTTCAATGGCAACAAGGAAGGAGGCACAAAATAATATGGTAACCTAAAGTACAACATAACAGAATCCATTAAGACAGGTACTCCAAGCCAAAGGTCATTCAGCATTATTGTCTTTTGGAACCATATTGGCAGATAGCAGCCAAAGGTAGCTTCAGAGGATACTTTGCCAGAATTACATCAACCTACTGAAAAGCCACGGGTTCCTCTCTTAATCACTTTCACATTATCAAGAGGGATGAAACCATCAGTGGATTATTTTGACCATATACCTGAAGAGAAACCCCCTACTGACAAGATATCAGTTGTTGATAAAGAACCAGAGATCTTTCCATCTTTGCACCGTAAGCCATGGAAAAGAAAAGCATCCAAAATAATGTGTGACTGGCAAATTCAGGGGACAGTAATTAAACAAAAGAAGATTGTAAAAAAGTTGTAGAAGACTCGAGTGTAATAATCAACAATACACGTATGTACGTAAACGCCAATGTTACTTTGTATTGTTACGTAATCTGAATTTTTGAGAAAATCTCCACACGCCTATAAATATAACCAACGC